AATCGCTTACAAGTGTTCGTTTGTGCTCATATTGCTTATGATCCCAATAAGAGCAGCATGTGGTTTGAGTGCTGACCTACTTGTTGTGGACAACGTTTTATCAACAATTATCATACTCTTCACGTCTATACATTACTTGTATTATTGTAGGTAAGTGACAGAACGATCGGTCAGTGCGATGAAGGGAGGCCGTTCAGAGGAAGGAAGCGGCTTAAAGGCGGTGCGCACAATTGCTGAGGCGGGCGGTTACTGCCAACGTCATTGGTGGAGGGGCTGAGTGGGTGGTTGCCGAACGTCTTCTCACCAATGACGTTGGCAGCAGCCGCACGCCCCCAGCCATCGTCACCACTGCCTTTAAATCATCGCACATACTACTAGCCCTTATAAGAAACCTTTGAATCTTTCCTCTCTTCAGGGCAATTAAATTCGTGGGACCATTCGTGCTCATGGTATATACAATTATTGCAACAGATATTCGACGTTTCCTCATGATTTATGGCATTTTCCTAATTGGATTCTCACAAGGTAATCTTCACTTCGAAACTTTTAATTCCTCTATATGGACCATGGGAATCAAAATTATTTCAGCATTCTACTTAGTATTTTTGAGCTGCGAACGGGCCGAAAATACGCAACATTCCAGTACTACAGATCAAGATCGATTCCAGAACGTGATACAGAATCCATTGGAGGCATTTATTCGGACCTTCATTCTAACCATTGGAGAATTCACCGTACTGTATAGGAATCTGGCTATGTGTCCAGCAAAAATTATGATATGGATAGGGAAGGTAAAGAACTTGTTCGCGTTTGAAGTTTACTTGACTAAGTGCTGATGGTACGGCCTGAACATAGTTCTTGTCACTTGTCGGCGGCCTCCACAACTTTATCGAGCTAGGTGCACCTTTTAGCGCGCATCTGTGCAGGGTACACGGGATGTGGCAAGTTTCCCCCAGTACGACTCCTTTATTTTCTCCACCGGCAGTACTCCTAACAATAATTAAGTGAGAAGCACATCTGATCAACAATTAGAACTAGCAAAATTGTCGAGCAGGAGGAAGTACACAGCGCCTAGAAAGATTAGAACCGCAGGATCGGAGGCGATGCCCAGCGACCAAACTTCACCCTGCCTCTACATTTGATTTCCACAACCATGATGCATATTGCTCCTGTACGTGGCTGGCGAGGGATGGGGACTAAGCTTACCGGCACTCCGACCGGTGTGGCACGTGAGTACTGTCGCACCTTGTAGCAGTGTGGTGCTTGTTTGGAAAGTGCGATATCTCAAAATTACTCTTCTCTAAAGCTGCATTCATACTTTGCAACACCGTCCACCAGCGACCACCAGCGTCTATCAGCGACGAGGAGTACAGTATTATGTAGTAGTACGGTGCGGTTGCACAGTCACAATTTGACGCCAAATCCAGCGGTCAGCTGCCCTCCTACTTCCCCCTTACTGTCTACTCCTGGTTGTTGGTAGGTGCCGGTAGGCGCTAGCTCGACATTCATTCTTTTCTATTCCCTCAAGACGCTGACGGTCGCTGGTGGACGCTGGCTGATGTAGGTAGGCGCTAGATCAGCATCAATACAATATCAATACTGACGGACGCTCGAAACGCTTATGGTAGCTGGTGCGCGCTACCGAAAAGTAGGCTGCGTTTATACTTTGCGGCAGCGTAGCGCTTCCAGCGTTTCACTAGCGTTTCGCTAGCGTTTGCAGCGGCGGGGCTAGAGAGTATAGAAAGAGGAGAGTATTTT